AAGGAAATTTAAAAACCATTTGTTTTGTATGCTGTAAACTTGGGAAAACAAGTTTCAGCCTGAAGTACATTTTCGTAGGCAATAGGTTAAATATAAGTCTTATGTAAATTTTGATCTCTTCTTAACAACTCCAATGTTCATTTTATAAAATTTGATTTGAAAATAATGCCATTGTTTTAAAAGAGCCTCAAAGGGTCAGAAACTAGGCAAAAAAAGTATCCACTCTAACAAGGCACATGTACAGTCTTTCAGCTCTAACTACTGTATCAAAAAAGGAGAGATTCCTGAGATTGCTCATTTGCAGTCTCCATCAATCAATTTTTTGGGAGCATGCTCTTGCAGCAGCATTAAAAGCCAAACTCACTCGCCAGCCTGGGCAAACTCATCAGCACTTGACCACAAGGTGAGACAAGTCCTGGCCATCCTACCATAGCCTCACAAAGTCACCCATCTCAGCAGATTACCAAACCAACAGATAAAAGTAGCCTTCCAGAGTACCCACTGCTGGAAACCTTTGCTCTTGGGGTTGCAGTTGTTCAGATCAAGTCTCTCCCTACCCACAGGCAGACACTGTGCAAAGCCCTGTGACCTCCTCGGTTGCCTTCTACCACAGTCCTGCCATCTGTTAAAAAAACTGGCACCCACTGAAGTCACGGCTCTTTTCATGGTGCTTGTCTTTTCTCGCCTCAAAACTCCTTCCTCAAACTGGGGGCTGCTTGTGACACCTCCCGGCCCCTTTTGTAAGGCTGTTTATTTTAAAATACTTTAAAGTAGCAAAAGTTGTTTTTTTCCCCTGACCCTACTGTTACAAAAGAGCTGTTAGGGGAAGGGACAGGCCAATCCTTAGCACGCAAAATGCCGCAGAAGACATACAGGAGAGAGATGGAGGAGTTATAAGGCTGATAGTTTGCAGAAGACTGACTGACCTTGCAGTTGCCCTTCTAAAGGGGATCTTGCCCCCCTTCAATGTGCCTTTTCTACCCCATCCCCAGCAGTGCTACTGGTACTCATCAAATCCTGATGATGTGGTTTGGCGAGCTAAAACTGCTGAGAACAAACTTGTTTTTTCTTCTTCTGCTGCTAAGGGCTAAGTTTTCTACCACTTCAACTCCTCAGCTCCATCTCACTTGAACTGCTAGGTGACAGCCAGAGTCAGTTCACAGGAAACAAGAGCAGCACGCAGCCAGGGGAACAGGAACACTCTTTTTTTGGCAGCCAACAAGCCAAATCAGTTGCGATGTCAAACCACACCCTCAGGTCGCTGATGGCTAGGGAGACTAAAGATGTTTTAGAGAGGGCAAGAGATACAGAAGTGCAAAATCAAAACAGACCAAGGATAAGGAGAATAGGCATACTAGATGCAAAGTAGGGGCTGGACTGTGTGTTGATCGTGGGAACAGATGGAGAGATAGAGAAATGACACCCATTACACTCAAAATCAAATGTATGAGAAACGGGAGGGCAGAGACAGAGCGTGGTGGGAGAGACAGAATTTGTGAGACAGGAAAAGATTTGCAGAAAACAATGGTTTGAGAAAAACTGGAATCAGAACTTACTGTTCACTGGAAAAATCACAGTCTAGTTGTATCAGTGCAGTTAGAAAAGAACGATCCTTTGAAAAGCAGCTTAATACTTTCTTTTTTAATGCCTGACATTTGCAAGGATCACCTGCTCTTTGTACATTGCATAGTCACACACAAAGAGTTAAAAGGTACAGCATAACATGAGCTTTGGCCAGCCCAATAAACATTTATTGTATCAACTAGAGACGTACCATTGCACAGAATAAACAAGAGCCAAATCAAATAAAATATTCTTCCAGTTCTGCAGAGGACCGAGATGCAAGCAAAAAGATTTTGGTAATTCCATGGCTCTCCATTGGCACAGGAACCAGAAAGGAATATTCATTAGATCTGACTATAAACGTTTGTCTTGTGTGGGAGGTCTTAGTATAGTAATATGTATTAGAAACTTGATATTTTTCCAATTAAGCCTTTCCACTTCCATTTACATATATTTAATTGTAAATATTCGTTCTCCTACCTGAAGCACTTTAAAGAAATGTACAATAAACACATTCTACACAGAAGGCGGAGGGAATAGCTTAGGGGACTTGTGATGGTCCCTAGAACTGCTCCAGCCTCCACATTGCTGGTCAGGAGCAATGCAAGATGATCCCTCCTCACCGCTTGTGGGGGGTCTCGTAGACCGAGTTGGTGATCTCACCCTCATTTCTCCTGAACCGGGATCCTCCCCCCCAACCAATAAATCGTAATTGACGCAAACTGGCATCTGTGCCAGTAGAAAAGGTGATGGCAAGGAGGTGTTCTCTCACACATACAAGTGGATTTCTTCTTCAGAGCACAACTGACTTCAGTTTGCAGTCACGTCAGCATCCACTTACCTTTTCTGAGCACCGAAACGTGTGGGCAATAGAATTATTATACTCTGTAACCACCACTTTACTTAAAACAGAACCGTGCAATGTGCAGGAACTCTCAAATGGGATGTCATCACTTGAGCCCTCAACTAAGCAGTGCTGTTCACCACGGTCAGGAGCGGCAGCATGGCCTTCGGGGAATGTGCTTCAGCCCCTTGCAGTGCAGGGGCAAGGCGGCAGGGAGCCTGGAGTGCCGTGGCTCTCCCCGAGAATTCCCCGGGTACATGGCAGCTTTCAGCGGGCACAAACCCACATCACTTACACAGCGGGGCTACGGGCATACCGCAGGAGTGCTTCTGTCCGCTGCCATCACCTTAATGCACAGCTGACGTAGGGTGCATCGCTGAGTTCCTCAGATGTATGCAAAAATTCCTCTTTTTTTTTTGTGACGGAAAGCACGTTTTAGAAAAAGGCAAAGAAAAAGTTTTACAGTCAGGATGCACTGATCGCAGACAACTGAAAGAAGGCTGGAAGCTATTCTTTCAAGATGAGGTTATGAAACCAAATTGATAAAATGGGTAACTGTGTGAATAAGCGAGAAAAAAAGCAAGGTCTTATCAGCTGGTCTCACAGAAGATATAAGTTAGGAAGAAGAGATAGGCTTTCACATACCCACTTCGGGCATGATCCAGAGGCAGTAAGCTTCAAGCTAGAGTACAGGTAAGTATGAAGCTTTGTAAATCAGTCACACTTGAAGACTCCCCCCAAAGACATCCTGTACCAAGTTAACTGACATCTTGAATGTTATTGCAGTCATAGTGACCTACTGCTACAGTACACATTAATGATTTAGCAACGTAAAACTGGTGAGTGTTGGTTATGAAAGAATGCTAACAAACCTGGGCAGAAATGCGTGTCCTTTGTACCGCTTACCATGAGAAAGCGATACTTAGGTGCTACAGTTACGTTAATAGCAAAATTAAAATTTTATTTTCAAATTGTTGGGTTCAATGCCAAAGTAAGAGGATAATGTTACCTGTTGACTTACGGGGCAATCTGGAAAAGATTAAGAGACAACATCTTATGCTTCCTATTTACACTTAGATTAACTATGAATTCATTTTATGAATTGTTGTACGGTATATTTATAAGGTGAAATTAAGATACCATTTACCTTAATACTGACCGATTGAAGTCAGAGGGACTACAGGAAGTAAGAAAATACTTCTGGAGAATAAAACAAATGGAGTGCCTCTTCTGAAGGTCACATACAGGTTTTTCTGCGTAGATTAAAACTTTTATCATGACGGATCATAAACTGTAAAGCAGTTCTTGTGTCTATCAGAAAATTCTATTTTATGTGTGAATTTCATGTCTTATACATGAGGACAGATAGAGCTCTTCTACGGCATTATTGGAGACTTATCAAAACCAGGGTGCTTTTTTCTTGAGAAGATGAAAAGTACAGAGATAAGCAGGGAAATAAAGACTGAAGTTTTAACCAATAATATTTTTGTGTGGTTATCAGAGGAATGTAATAATTAATCTTTTAATCATTCTGAAGATTGTGTGAAATCATAATATCTCATCTTTTCCAGCCTCAACCTGCCATTCTTGATCTGAATTACAAACAATAAGAAAGGAGATGATTTAATGAGCAACTTTGTCATGTTGCCATTTTGCCTTAGTCAAAGGCAAATGTCTAGTTTTGCCTCTAAACTAAAATGGAATAGACTTATGTTTCAACTATGCTCGCAACCGAGGCAAACATGAATAGAAAAGTTAGGGCTATTTTAAAGGCAGAACCCCAGTGTCTTCACATTTTCATAAAGACATAATTAAATACACATTGTTAAGAATAAACAAACATTCATTTACTAGAAAATAAAATCCACGGTGCGAAGAAACACACATCTATGAAAATAAGTCTAGAATTTGACAAATACTAAACTAAATCCAGAAAGAAAGATTTCAGTCACAATGGCAATAGGTATGTTCTTATTATGAAGGAAAAAAGTCAGCATGATTTAATCATACTCAATAAATAGGCACTTCAATAAAGTATATATTTACACTGGCTTTCTGAATGCTAGGGCATCACAAAGTAGTATGGCTTTATTACAATGGATGGAAGATGGCAACTACTTAGAACCCAGTGCCAACATGGATTATAACAAATCCAGTGAGTATTTTGTTTTTCAATTATTCATAGAAAATTTAATCCTGATTAAGTATCCTTGGGCAGGAATTCATGGGTAGTTGATGACTGAAACCAACATTTATTTGAAATGCTTCTGTTAATTTAATCTGTGTATATGGCTTAATTATGATTGAATCCTCAATGTAACAGAAATGAATTATATCAGGATTAAAATTCTAGTACCACATCACCCATTCCATTTTCTTTGCCTTTTTTTCCCCCTTTAAAAGATGCAAGCCTGCTGTTTTAATTACCTTTATGTTGCTATGTCTTATAAATCTTAAATACTGTTTAGACCCTCATTACTGGATGAAATTTTTAGTTACATTTATTTTTTAAAAAAAAGGCAGATATAAACCCTATTTTCATTCCCATTAAAATTTTAACCAGTATGACCATTAGTTGCAAAAAAGGCTTTTCTTTTACACCAATAATAAAGGAAAGTTTCTTGCAGTCAGTTGTGAACATTTTACATGTATTTTCTAGAGGACTCTCCCTCTTTTGTTTCCCCTTCTTTTATGCTTATAGACAAAATGCATTTTCTCTAAAGCATGAAAATAAAAGAACTTGTACTCATCGTTACGCATCACACCAATTTCACGAACTGGCCTATTTCAGGCTTGTTTGAGCTTGTAGATGTTTTAAGAACTGCATTTTATAACACCTTCAAACCTAGTATTTATTGATATAAAGTAAGGACTTTTTTTTGTGTCTGTGAATGGGAGAGAAAAGATTCATTGTACTTTTCTGTGATACAGCTCAGCACCACATACTAGACATAAACAGTATTTATAAAATTATTCAAAAGATGGATTTTTTCACTCCACAATACTTCTAACAGACTAATCTAGGGACCTTGTCAGACCAAAGTTCTGTGAAGTGCTCTTATATTATCACTCAGTTTTCCAGTGAAACCAATGTATCACATATCTATGACAAAAATACCTGTATATTTAAGTCATTATTGCACATTTATTACATAACATATTCTTCCTAAATATCTCAGAAGTGATGTCGACTTTTATGTCCAGAGGATACTGTTAGTGGCAATGTCACTGATGACAGTGAAGATACTTCCCAATATAGACTATGAGATAGAAAAAGTCTGTAGAGGATAACCATGGAGATGCACTGACAGAGGATAACACCTATGGTAATAATCTAGAGACAAAAAAAAAAAAGAGAGAAAAGGAAAAAGCAAGTGAAAAAACCTTTTAATACTGCTGCAGTTACAAAAGATTTGAACATGAATCTCAAGTCCAGGATTCAGACTCTCACACCTGGGTGTTTTTAAATCAGTAGATAGCCCTGGGCAAGTCACATAACCCTTCTGGCAGTCTCTGTTCTGGGGAATTTCAGACTTGCAATTCACCACCCATGCAGTTTCACAAGCAGAGGTGATGTTTAGATATTCTGTTCATACAACAAACAGAGTGGAAAAAAAAAGCCTGGAAACACTTTGCACTAGCACACTCCTGGAGCTGTGAGGATAGTGATTAATCAGCCTCACTTAGCCAGACCTCTTTTCAGTGCAAGTCTCTTAATCTGTAAAAGATTTGTAAGGCAGTATTTATCAAATGTATAAAGGTAACTACTGTTTCTGAGAAAGCAAAAGCCTAAGTTCACGTACAGAGAGTCTCTTAAAATACATGTTTTTCTTAAATAAATATGGTATTTATTGATCATGCATTTCTTTATTCTATTGAAGTGCATTTAAAGAAGGAAACACAGCTAAATTTTCATAATGTAGGAACTGCAGCGGCACACAATGGTTAAACTTGCTCAAATGCAAGAGCAGAGCAACTGTACTCTCCCTTCAGTAAGCTCAAAATCTCAAAATAATGCAAAAATTTTCTTTACTGATCCCATCTCTAGAGGTTGTCCTCCTGCCGTGATGATATTTTCATCAAGCAACAACAAAAAGTCTCTTTGTTAGTAGCTCTACAGAAGTCTTTTTTCTCCCTAGTTTTTTTCTTTTGTTTTAAAATCAAGTGTAGTATTTCATTTACTGCATATTTTTAGTGGAACCTTTTTCTTCCCCGTACATATCCTCTACACAAATAAAAACTCAATTTCCAAAAATATTTGCCTACAAAGGCACAGACAGTTAAAACCATAGAGAAAAGAAGCAAACTCTACCCTGGAATGAGGTAGTCAATCACCTGAGAATAGTAGTGCACTTTATCTGAACATGGCAGGCTCCACACACTAGTTCTCTAGTTCCTAATATGTTTAAGCAATCGAGAAACCAAGTGAGTCCACCTTTGTTTTTAACTGTTCAGAGCTTACAAACCAAACTACATATTTGGACCGATTTCTTAATCTAAAGAATACAGTTCAGCTACAGGTTCCTGACCTATTTAGCCACATAAAGCTTTTAAAGGATGAAGACTAAAAAGCAAACAACAACAACAAAAATCCACTGATTTATCTTTCTACTAGCTTTGTTAAAAGAATCCCCAAGGTGTTTTTAATTAAAAAACAAACAAGCAAACAATAAAACAAAACACCCCCCCCATTTTCCTTTGACTTAATCTCCCCCTCTCCCTCCCTTAACCTAGAAATGATTACCCGTAGATGATTCAAACCCTGTATGCCTTTGTAAAATATGACTCACATTAGCATCAATGAGAGCTGTGTGACTAAGACTTTTCAAGTTGCTTTGGGGTCATAAGATTAACAGCCTAAGAGCATGAGTTTGCTAACAAACACTGAACATGAAGAACAACTACTATTCAAATTCCATCTCTTTTATCTTGCCTGTACATACCTTTTCTCTTTGATATTCTCTGAATATTACAGCAATGGTTGCAAGACATGGGTGGCACAAAAACCAGAGAATGCAGGCCTGAAAGAGAAGATGAGTATAAGTTATAAAATGACTACATGCCAGCTTAGAAGAAAGAGATGACAGTTAGAGGAACTGCATTTACATTTCTGTCTATTTTATGAAGCCATTGTTTAATTTTCAATCAACAGAACGAAAACCACACAATGAAAGGTGGGATTTCTGTTTAAAAAAAGCTCTATACTCCTTGTCAAATTAAAATGACTACTCAGAGTATGATGACAGGGTGCAATTTAATCAAATCAGACACTCAAACATTAACTTTCTTATGGAGGAAAAGTTTAGTGCTTCAGTCAACTGCACGCCACAATTATGTTTATAGCAGAAGGGATCAGTTTCCCTGATGTAACCCATACTTTGGCAAAGGTGATATAGAACTCCCTTTTCAGCGTGCTCCTCTCCACTGTGATGATCTGGTAAAGACCAGCAGCCAGTGACAAAGCGAGGCAAACTCTGAGGCCAATAAGCAGTCCGCTTGCTAAGCCATGGTGTGAATGGTAGCTGTGGTGATTTGTATCTTCAAACTGTTCCCAAATTAATAAAAAGCTCTGGAAAAGAACAACAACAGCAAAGTACATTTAGAGTAAACAAGGTTACACTAAACCTCAACTAATCTTCCCATCACAGATTAAATTATCCGCACAACTGGTCATGCTCCACTCTGCTTATTGGAGGCCACCATGTTACACAAAAGACCCTAGCCCGAACTGCCTTTTGGCACTACCTATTACTCCAAGTGCAACTGGCAGGAACAGAGTCTCACTTCTTGCATTCTATAACTTTTAGAAAGTTAGACAAGTTAAAGTTTCCCCTAATTTGGATGGAAGGAATGTGCCACCTTAGCATAAGATCCAAAATAATCATCTAGTTAAACAGTCGGCCTGCTCAGCAGGAAGCCCACTGAAATGATTCCACAGAGCTACAGGGAGGTGTCTCCCTCCACTTGGGATCCACAACCTGTAAAGCTTGTTTCAAAGGCAGGCGACTACGCCTTTTCTTTCAAAATCCTAACAGGATTCACTTTTCTTTTCAAAGATGGGGAAGTAAGAGGGTGGTGCTGCTGCCCCTTTTATACAATAGCCTAAAGGCTCAAGCATTCACCCAGGTTGAACTTCGATCTCCCACAATTCCCTTCTTTGCCTAAAGGATATCCAACTCACATCTCCCACCTCCTTGGAGAGTGCCGCAACTGCCAGGCTATAGGCTGTTCTTGGGTGGGCCACTCTCCACCTCTTCTATTGAAGCTGTGCCATTGTGGAGAAAAGAATTCAACATCAGCTAGGTCAGAAACTGCGAGCGAGCCTGACTCTGCAAGCAACTGGCTCGGAAACCTCCTAGGGTCTAGGAATGGGAGCATGACAGGTTCCAAATGCCGTTCCAACATCTGGACAAATGCTCCAGCCAACACATAAAGATAATAATCCTCCGTAGCTCTCAGCACTGTATCCATTTACTGCAGAATCCAATTTTGTAGGAGCACTGTGAGAAAGAATATTGATGGATTCTCCAAGGAAAAACAGACTAAGTGCCTAGTCTGCGAATCTTAGTTGGGTAGAAGGCAGGCGCCTACTTGTTGCATAAAAAATGGATCTTGCTGAAGAGTACCTTTTTAAGACTTTGGGAATGTTAACGTTATAAATTAGAATACCCATGAAGTTTAGACTCCCCCAGCATCATGTAGCAGCTAAATGGCATTTTTAAGACCTGAATATACGCTGGAATCCAGTCCACCTACTGCACACATCTAACTTGCACTTACACTTCAGATGTCTAATGAAGCAGGCTTTCTGAAGAAAGGTAGGCAAATTTGATTTATATGAGTGAGGTAGCTCTGAAGGCCTTCAGAAGCAGACATTGTATGCCTCAATTTAGAAATCTAAATTAGTCAGATTCCTTTCTGAACACATTCAAAGGCTCTCTCACTACATTAACTACATAAAAACAAAAAGGTTATGGATATTAACTTAAAAAAAAAAAGTGTAATCCACCTGTGTCTTCCAAAGATGGGTGTCCTTGAGTCTCATCAGTCAAGACAGTATCATCTTCGCTTAGAATATCCTCAGAGAGTACTCTTGCTCTTTTGCCCTCCCTTACCTAGGCCATGACACAGCAAGCATGACTGGTGTCATTTCAGTCACTCCTCAACTACCTGGATGGAAAATGGAAGGATGGGAGAGGGACAGACGTCTTGAACATCACTGATTACCAGTAAACAATCTGAACAATTGGCTTCAAATGTTCCCACCATAACACTCTATTTCTGACTAACTCCAAGCAAACATCTTCAAATGATCAAATTACTTGACTGAGAATTCTGTCAAGGAGTAAGACTGAAATAAGGCTAAAAGGCTCCTGAAACCCTGAGCTACAGCACAGTGTTTGGTAAAGTTGTGTCTACAGCACTAGTTTTGGAATGAAATTGATGAATTCCTATCACAGAAGTTACTTCAGTCCAGGTAAAACATGCTCACACAACAAATAATGGTTCTACCAGTTACAGAATCACTGCAGTCTTGTACAGAGCATTTTCCCTTTTGATATTTACACTTGGGAATAGCAAAAGTATTTAACTTCCCTGGACTGGACATACACTATCTGAGAAAATAAAAATCCCAACCACCTCCTATTCCACCTCAGGAATCTTCCTGACTAAATCATGCATCTGGGGGGAAGAAATACAGGCTGATGAAGATGAAACTGTAATATTGCTTTAAGAAGAAACTTTAGGTAGATCCCAGGGATAGCGTAACCTTAAAGAACAGAACTCATGAGGATTTGAATTTTCCTTAACCTACACCAATAGTAACAGCAATGAAGGAAGCCACTTTCATGAGAAGATGACAAAGAGCTGGAGTAAAGGAATTATGAGAACAAAGTCCAAATCCTCATGGGAAAATAGTCTCTGACAGCACAGTATGCTCTGGACTAGCCCTTTAAAGAGTGTAAACTGTGTAAACAACACAGGAAAAAGTTGATCAAAGACTGTGTGTAGTGACAGCAATGCAAGATCACAGAATTCCAGCTTCCTTCAGTTTCATTAGATTATTCCAAAATAAGCAGAAGGCAGAGGCATTAGAGGCAGAGATGGAACTATCAGTGCAACACACTGGAAACTCGGACAAGATGAACGTGTGTCACTGCTCCTCCTGTGAGCTGGGACTGTTCTCACTCACCAGAGAAAAGCAGGATTCTCTAACAGAGAAATCTGTGCTATGGAGTGTTTCTAGGTTACAATGGATTAGGCAATCTGTTCTCAATGAAGGAAGAGTTTCCATAGACAAGCATGATCTTGAAGTCAAAATTTCTTTGGCTGGCTATGCCTGAGAAATTAAGGTCAATAAGCCCTGAAGTCCTTTACCTTGACCACAGAAAGCCGTATGTCAGCTCACTTAGCTGCAATATCAGGAACACCAACCTGCTGAAGTGGATATCGGAGACATTTTTTTGTTGGCTGTAAAAGCAGAACTATGTTTGAACTCTGAGAAGAAATCAGCGGGGGAATTCTAGTTATCCAGAAGAACAACTCTGCTTGGACTGTAAACAAAAGAACTGGATGAGCTAGGTAGCTGAAGAGCTGACTTGCACTAGCTATGTCCAACACCAAGTCACAACTGCTTCTTCGTAAAGTAAAGGAGAATGACCATCTCCTTTTTTACACAATACACTGTTCAAAATGCCTGACTTCATCTGCACATACTTCTGTCCTACCTTGGTTCACAGTGGACACCAACCACTGTCCAGTACTGGTCTTCCTCTTCAAATGCTAGAAGAATGTTTGCCACGGACATCATCCTGATATTCCAGATATACAAGTTGAACCTCCACATCCATACAATGAAGAACCAGACACTCTTCTTTTTTGTCATGAGGATACAATTATGGTAGAACCCCTCCTCCCCTTCGCTATGCCAACACTGACTTTATGGCAAGCCAAGATAACATATCAATCTCCAGTGAAGGCAGGTTCTCATGGGACAGATCATCTCTGAGAGGCAAGAGGAAGAGGGAAGCAAAAGGGAAATCAGAAGTAGCAGCAAGGCAAAGTGGATTAACTAGCTGCTTCTAAACATATCTAGTGCTTGGGTATCTGATGTCATGCAATGCCAGTACAGTAAAAAATGGTTTAGATCTAAGGTCAGACGTAGAGCTCATTCTGAGCACACCTTTGGGGTGTACCTAAGAACCCCTGTGAAGTGTGACATCTAATGCAGTAAGATTCTATGTCATTTTCATCAGGTTCAAAGTGATCAGCTGTCTTTCCAGAATCATTGCCTCTACTCCAATCAGCCCTGAAAGCTGAAACTGCTCAGGTCTGGGTGATGGGAAAGGCCTGCCATCAATAAAGTTTTGGACAAGGTTTGTGTCTCAGCAGCAGAGAGCAGAATCTTTAATGAATACAGAGCAGCCTGGGAATCTTTTGTTCTGAGGCTGAAATAAAGAACAAGTTAAGGCAAAGGGAGACGCTGAATTGCAGACCTGTCCGCCCTTTGAGATGCTACCTCTTTGCAGCTGCAAAGACAACAAGAGATTTGCTGACTAGAAGGCTGTGTCCACCCTATACTGACGGTAACCTGTAAACACAGCCCGGGAAATTGCTGGTGTTTCTGAAAGAACAAAAAGAAAGAATCCATAGCATCAGTACAAAGAGGAGAAAACCCCCTGAAAAATTGCTGAGTAATTTGAAATAGTAGCAGGCAAGCAGGGTCAGATAGTTTGCCAGTCAAAATTGCAGTTAAGTTGAAGACCAACGTATTTTCCCAGGCTGTCCACTTGCGTGACTTCCCTGAAGATGAGATGAGGACAGGTAGTATAGAATGTCAATAAAACTAACATGGTTCAATATCTATCTGCTGTGTTAGGGTAATGCATGTGGTTTCCAGCACCCTCCACAGCAAGTCCTCAGAACATCTCTGTTATCCACATAAGTCTGTCCAACCTCTGGCATGGGAGGAAGCTGGCTCTCCCATAAGAATCTCTGGGAAAGAGCAGGACAGAAAGGAGGTTATTGTAGGTTTTTAATCATTAAAAGTGATCACTGATTGCCCTGTTACAGCAGGTCCAACAGCCATGTCAATCTAGACAGACCAATGAACAACAGACCAATCTAGAGAATGTAGTCTTGAGCTCACCACCTTTAACAGAGGCAATGAGCTCAGGGGATCAGTATCGAGACCGCAACAGTTGCATTCTGTACTAAGGAGAAGAAATCTGGCAGTAGGTATAGTTTGTATGTACTGAACCATGAGACGGAAAACATCCTCTCCAGAAGTGGCAAGGATACTCTTGGTGTCAGGGAACTTTTGCTGGAGACAACAGACACTGAGATGGGGGTGCAAAACCACCAGGCAATGACATACTCTGATATCCATATTCTGTTCCTACAAGACTCCTGCCAAACCTGACATTCCCAACGTTACCAGGAGAGATGTGGTAGAGCTGTGCGTTCATGGTGAAAAGTGAGATAGCCAACCTTGTGCCAATGCTCCAGTGGTGCTCAAAGAGCTAACACAAATGTGTAATGGACCAGTACTGGGGGAAGCAGCATATATGTATGATACCTGCCCTGATTTTTACAAGTAACAACCAAAAAAAGATCAAGCTGATGACACAGAGTGTCCTTTCTATGTATAGTAAAAAGGAATCAACAACAAAAAACTTTCCAGTCTCAAGTGACAGAGTACTAACACACCCATACGTATGTACAAGTGGAGAGGCATGAATAAAATTAATAGTTTAGAAGTCTTCTTTACTACCAGCATGTAAAATTTCTGGTGCTAGACGGGTGTCGAAGTAAGGTGGAATGAACCTATCTTTGAATTTCAACAGTCCCATTGACCTTAATAGCCTTTGGTTTATATTCTTAATTAGCAAGAAATGTCAGCTCCCAGCTACTCTTAATGTTTGAGCAGTCCACTGATTTAGTTTGGAAGCAGCACTAATTACAGATACTACTCAAATGCCACAAAATCTTCAGTATAATCTCTTCCTCATTACTGTCTCCAGTTTCTCCCTGCTCTTCTCTTTCTCAATGGCTTTCAGATTCTCTTGTCTTTATGGTGTGATTTAAAAAAATTTGTTTACAAAAGGCACCACCAGGGTTGGATGATCTCCATTACAATTTACTTTTAAGTTACTGGTTTACTTGACTTTCTAATTTATACTAATGGAAAATATTTGAATGAAATTATGTGTCAGACCATTTGTATACTTGCAAGACCAATCCTGCACATGAACCTTTCAAGAATTCCCTCATATTGATTAAAAAGACCATTAGACATCCTATTTGAGTGGTTCTAAGAGGAGGACACCAAGGATTTCAACTTTTTTTGGTGACAGAAATTTCAAAGAATTTCTCACAACAGCTTTTCTTGTCTCTCCTCTCATGCTGCTTGTTGTCACCCCCCATAATGTAGTTCACAACCCCTCAGTTGTACTGATTACAACTATTTATGGGACCATCTTATAAATCAGATCAGTAAAATGACTGTGCTGGCTGAAATATCTTAAATACCTCCTGCTCCCCCCCAGTCTAGATCATTCCACTGATCTGGTTTACAGTATAATGCTACAAACAATTGGCACAACCAGGAGTTTGGAAAACTGTGGGAACTTCTTAAGTGGTTTTACTGCTGAACAAAAACATACTGTGGAGCTACACCTTAAATTGTTAAAGTAAAGAGAAGGTGTTGTTACCTATTAGACATACTGGGTGCACATTATGGTGTGGTTTTTTTTTTTTTCCAGTCTTGATACTCTCTCCCTCATAAAATATTGAAATTAGTTGGTTCACGGTTCTGTCATACCTAATAGCAGCTGTATATTTCAGTATAAGAATGAATAGAAAATACAAACCTGTGTAACAACAACTACTACAGCAATGCCAGTAGATGTTGGAGTGGAATCCCACTGAAGAGGTCTGCCATGAGATTTCTTCATTCTGCCTATTGTCCAACCCATACACAGACTCAACAATAAATATAGCATTTGTATCTGTGAGACTATGTCACACACTATTAAAAACAAAAGAAAAAATAAATAGTCACAACAAAAATACAGTTTTTTTCTAAAGCAAAGAGAAATGTTTGATATACCTACAAATGAAGGGTGGGCATTTACGCCTCTGTATGACCTTTCATCATAATTTTGGTGATAGTTTGACTAGCTGAGGTTGCTTTGCCACAAAATGTGGGTATTTTGAGTCGTTTCCAGTGACCAAACAGATCACTACCAGCTTTCCTCTAGTTATGCTGCAGTGCTGCAATAACACGAGCACAGCACCACATCCTCCCAAATCCCACTCTTGTGTCAAAGAAGTCTGGGCTCAGGAGTCCATCTGCATAATAGGCTTATAAATGCTAAAGAACTAAAATCATATGTATGTTAATCATGCTGCAAATACAAAAAATGATGAAACGCACTCCTTCCTTTTCTATGAAAAACTTTTGTTCAAAAATCAGATAGTTGCATTGTACTTTAAATTAATTGCACTTTGTCTTAAGGATGCAGTAGCTTGCCACAGAAAGCACAAATATTTAGGACAAATTCCACTCTCAGATACTTAAAGGGGAAAATATAATGAATAACCCTAACACAGACTTCATTTAGAGCAAACACTTGCCTGTATTTCATTTTATTAAATGCAAACTACCTTTGCCTCATTTTTGCTATGTCCATTTTTTTTTTTCTCTGTTTGGGAACAATTAACACATACGCCATAAAGTTACATTCTTAATCAGCGTCTCAAACCTGTGTTTGAAGCTGTACCTGAATAAAGAAGACTTAAAGCTAGAATATATTAAAGCCTGTAGAAAGAACTGAAGATTTCTTTCTGGGTGACTGTTAGCTTTAGACCTGATAAGTTTTTGACTGAAACTTATTGAACAATTTTTAAGTTGGTGCTTGGACTTGAGAGTAAACTGTCTCATTGTAGTGGGGTAGCAGAGCTGTACAAGAAAAAATGATTCTTGTATTATGTAAATTGTGAATTTGGTTCAGAAACTAGAGATTGGGCACTACACACAACAATGCTTTCTTTTCCACTTGACTAAAATTTAAGTTCAATTAAATTTGCTCCTTATCTGTAATTTTCACTTACACTATCAGGTACAAGAAAAATATTTCTATGTCACAAAAGCAAACATCTATTTTTATACAAATTTTACAAGGCTAGCTATGGAGACATAGTACTCCCTAGAAAAAACTGTTACGTGAACCCAAGGCATGCCAAACCAGTGTCACAAATCCAAGCTAGAGGAAATGACTGAACAGATGTGGATGTTCTAGAGAGCATTTTATTTTCTGTCACTCCTTAAGATAGCTTGCTCTATAAGTTATAGCCAGACATCATCTCTCAGTCACATCTTCGATATAGATATTGCTGTGCTTCAGTGTGGCAACAATTCAAATGGATTCCCAGACAAAATGGTGTAAGATAAAAATTCAGTACTGGTGTTAACCTTTGACATCTCACACACCTTGCCAGAAAGCAAGAAGGTCAAGAGAAATTTCTAAAATTACAATAATCACATGATATCCAGGGTCAGTGTAAACTCACATGCTACCAAGCTGATACCATATCTGTCTGATTTCATCACTATTCATCTTTTTTGGCTGTTGCAACAGGCATAATAATACTCTCTGACTTTTCACATTTTGATCTTACCAAAACTTAAAAGATCACTATTTGTGATGCTTTTGAGCGTCAGCATTATTGGCGTGATTTATACAATTAACTTAGGTAATAAATTAGACTGAGGGTCAGGTCTTTATACACGGTGAAGAATAAATGGTGATAGGAAAAGAATAATTGCTTGGGATAGCATCTGAACAGGCTTCTAGAAAGAAATTCTGGCCTCACTGCCAGTCAATAGAAATTTTACCATTTACTTTTAACTCAGATTTCTGTTCTGATGTAGGAAAAAATGGTAGCACCTTCCACCTTCAAACTATACTACTTGCTATCAGCCATTCTTCAGAATTGTAATTGACACTGAAGCTGTCCACATTTCTATTACTTCTGGTCTTTTACTGTTTTGGGAACCATGAACCTTAAAAACAGTAGGAAAGGAAAACTCTCTTAGCTCAATTTAAGAAATTCAGCTATTGATTCAAAAAATATTTTATTCTCAACAAACTTTGCTTTAAGCAAATAAAAGTGGTCTCTTCACTACAGTTCATACACAGAGAATCTAACATGCAGCTACTCTCTCTGAAGTTCTGGCTGGGTAGTTAACACTGGGTTTCTCACTGGGGAAGAGTTATGACTACCTTCATGTTCTCTATTTAATTTCATTTCAGGAGATGAGAGGGAAAGTTTAATAATACAGTTGCTGGAGAGGCTGTAAGGACCTGCTAACTCACATGGTTAAAACAAGAAAGAAGCAATTACTGTGGTGCCAAGTGCCATCAAGAGGCTGTTAATTCCAACTGCAAGCTTCTAAATGAACTCTAGGAAGAGAAGTATTTTTCTGTACAGGCTGCTACTCTCCAACACTATCCCACTACCACAGTACTACTTTTTTGAGGTGCTTCAAGCCAATCAAAAGGCAATGTATTTGCTTAGAAAGAACCCCCCAATGCTTCAAATGTGAACTAGAGAAAAGAAACCCCCAACGACAATGTTCAACCCTGAAGAATCCAGGAGTAAGTTAGCGCATTTTGGGAAGAGATGTTACAGGAATTCAGCTCCAGTGAGAACTCAGAATATCTATACAGAGTGGAGAAAAATGCTTTGTTAACATCAACTCTTTACATAAGCATTTTTTGCATCACTCTAATCATATCACTTGTGCTGTAAAACACTTACTATTTCATTATAATAAATGTTAAATCTGCTAGTGAAGCGACACACTCCATAAAATGTCATTAAGTTTCCTAAAAAGCTTTGCTACTCTAAATAATGCAAACTCCACAAAACCCTTCAATGTATTAAAACATCTACTCATGTGATAGGCATGTATTTAAGTGTTTGTAGGAAGGAAGCTTCAGACAAGAAAATCCTTTAAAAAATCCTAAACAATATCACAATTGTGTAACTTTAAATACAGTTATTGTAAACATCCAGAATAAAACCTGTTTTTCAGAACAGCAACTTCTAGTATTTTATATTAAAAATCCAGTGATATGGTCCAAGATCATAATACAGTCCAGCAACAGCATTCGCTGACGTATTATGCAGATTAATGCGTAGGAATACGTAGGAAACAGTAGACAAGCATACTCACATTCTGCCAGACTTCCCATAAAAGGTGCTCCTATTCCATCTTTAGAATAACTGATGAAACAATAAAAAGATGTTATTTAAGTGAGTGAGCCTTAATTGTATGTTCTCTCTTAAAAGTACATTTAGGCAATGATGTAGTTCTAAAAAGTCAGTCCTATGTTTTGTCACAATCACCACAGGAAAGATGATGTACTGATCTTTACAACACAATGTTCTTCAACTCTTAAGACTGAAAGCAAAAATAAGCAAAGATACCTTGAGAAATGCAGGTAGTTGGCAAAAGCTGAACCAGCCTGCAACAGTAATGCAATTGTCAACACCTTTAATACAGTATGCATAGGTCCACGCTTCTTAATTGTTTGCCATAGGGATTGTGCATATATGCAAGCAGTTACAAAGTATGCTAGGACAAGCAGGAAAAAGAATTCATGTAATCCTGTGAAAAAAAGAAATACAGCTTAGTTCTTATAAAAAAAAAAAGTTGCCACTAGCAGTAAATAACAAAACACGGGTTTTTTTATATATAATCACTGGGAAGTACTTAGTAACTGTCACCCAAAAGTGGTAGTACAGATAAAATGAGTAAATCCTAGCCTATCTTATCCAAGAAAGTGTATTTTTCCAGAGCTGATTATTATTTGATCTGACAAAGCATTTCTTATTCAACAATACCTTTTCTGAGTGTAGGAGAGATTCTGTTCAAGTACGAATAACTATGTAGCAACTAGTGAAATAGTATAAAGTGGCATACAGTTTCTTCATAAACAGAAAATAATTGTAGCCCATTTGATCAGTCAGAAACATATTAAAGGACTTATTTTCACCTCTTCTTTTTGGCTTCAATTTTTAAAGGCACAACCTGAGATGAGAGAAACCCCAAACAGACTTCTGTTGAATCTATTTAACCACTGGGTGTCACTCTTCCTCCACATAAAGTAGTTAAACTCAAGCACAGTTGACTAAGACAGAAAACTTTTAGATAAAGAAAAATGGAAAGAAAAATAGCACAAGAACAGTAAGTTCATAGAGTGGATTTTTTTTCACCAATCTGAAAAAATGCCCAAAGTATTTGATATTATTTACAAAACAGAAGTACTCTAATTTTCAGCCTGGTAGGAGTCTGGTAAAATGCTTCCCTGAAGACCTGCATCCTGGAAATCTCTTCTGTTGTCCGGAAGCTTTGGAACCCATCATATGAGCTCCCAAAGGGTCAAAGCCAGTGAGCTCTATGCAAAAATGGGTAAACAGACATTTCTCACAGAAAATTTATGTTTTCCTTCTCCAACCCTCCTTGAAACCAAGTGGTGCCCGCAGAATCAGATTCTGAACAATGTTTTTCCTCCAGCAGGAAGACAACTCTGCTAAAAACTTCCAACCAGCTCCACCCAGAGATTAGAAACATAGCAATTACACACATTTCAATATCTAAGTTGAAAAACATTAGAACTGTATGAGTTCTGGACCGTTGCTAGTACAGTAACTTCTGTGGCTAAAATTAATACTTTTGGACATATATACAGTCAAATGGGAGAAGACAACCATAAGGTAATAAAGACTCATAAAACACCAATTTAGGGTCACTCTGCTTCTCTTGTGTACCTATACAAATGCATGATTTATGAACAACAAAAATAGCATTTTAGATCAAATATCTTTTTCTTTCACTCTTTATCTTTCTGCTTCAAAAGATACCCACTGAAGTTGGCAAGGGTCCTGTAGATAAGTTATTTCTCACCATGATGAGTGGGTACACATGGAAAACTCTTTAGGAAAATCAACTAGCTTTTAATAAACACTAAACTTTTAGGATGGAAAGCTCTTTCCAACCAAAGACAGATTGTGGATGACTGGCTTGAGACCAAAACAATTTAAGAGAAAGCTGCGCTGAAATACAACTATAAAAAAAACCAGAAGGTAATTTGCAACCTGTCTTTTTCAAGTTTCCTGACTTTCAAGTAACCTAGAGTTGACAGAGAAAATAAAACATATGTACCTTAATTTGAAATACCTAACTTCAAAGATCTTCAAAATGCTGTCTACCTGGTCAGCTGCCCTTAGAAATCCTAGATTGCACTGGTACCATGTCTTACGTAAAAAACCCCTGCTATATAAAATGATAAAAGATTACTTGCCACGGATCAGAAACCAGGCCTCCTCCCCTCTCAAGGCAAACATCTTAATTACAAGATTACAGTCTCAAGTTCCTTCCTGTACTTCCCTTACAGTCCATTTAATTTTGAGATCTCCTGTGTCAGGCCACAACTTTAGTAACTAAAGTGAAGGATGACCTAACTAGAACCATCTATAACTATGTAGTTTTTAGTCGCCTGAATGAAAGAACCAAGAAATGAAGCTGGACCTTTTCTCTGATACCCTGATGTTCCAAGCTGTGCACCTATGGAAAAATGACAAACATTATTCCCCAAAGATACATTAGGGGAAAAAAACAAACAAACAAACAAACAAAGGCACGAGATATTAAATCCTCCTCAGTTCTTTGAAAGCAGACACAGGCATGTAACTTCAGCATTCATGGCAGTGATGCAGGTTTTAATTCTGAATAAATAGACGTGTTGCTCTGCAACTGTGGAAGACATGGCATGTACAGCTCACCCTGTTTCCTACTTGTTAGATCTAAATACATGCATCCAACGCATTTTACACACCTCCTTACTCAACATGCAAGCTGGTCAGAGTTCTGCTTCCAAGTGCTCAAAGTCTTCCTACAAAACTAATATAGAGCCCAGATACCTCTCTAGGAGGTCTGTACACCACTTTTAAGGGCCACGTGATGTCTTATACTGCTTTGCCCATTGATTTAGCAAAAGAACGCTACTAGTGCTTTTTGAGAATAAGTAAATTAACCTAGAATTCACTTCTGGATACAAAATTCACCAAATAAAAGCTGCCAACTAAGTTTGGAGATTAAGAAGCACAGTTAAGAAGTTAAGGAGACAGGTAAGTCAATTTATAACCATTGAAAAATGGATGATTAACAGTGCTACTTTCTTACAGATTCTGCTAAATGTTCAGTGAATATTTCTTCCCTTCAAAAAGGGAGCTGCCTTTGTTCCCTCTATATCCTCTTGAGACGAAGAATGACAGCAGGGCATATGATTCTGAGCACAGCAATTAGGGTCATTCTGGGTATGTAGGTTAAATCTGTGTATGACGGCAGACTAAGCCTATCAGGCTCTTCCCTTACAACAGACCTAGGTTAGTGACACGTTGATGAGGCCTCCCAGAGCAGCGAAGCTAAGCGCTGCAATGAAGCACACATCAGGTTGGTTTGGATTGTCCAAAGCATACAGTTATATGTAGGCGTTTCTTTAGCTGCTGTCTTGAGTCACTTCTAGAAGTTTTTCTTTGCACATTGAAAGATTTAAAATTGTATTTCTTACGTAAAATGAGATCAGGACTGACAAATAGCTAATCTGCGGCCTGCGACTAAGATACTTAGAAAGACCTAAACATTGAACTGAAATTGTACTGGCAAAATGTTTTATTGTGCAGGTACTTGCGTTGCACAGAATCAAGTTTTACACAGCTAAGGAATTTCATGAATTCATTAAAATCAGGGATTAAATTCACATTCAAGTGGAAGCTTACAATTTCAACATGGGAAAATCACCTATCAGCAAAGATCTTAACACTAACTTTCCTTGTGCGTCTATCCTTCCAGTTAGGCAAGTTTTGGAAAGTCAGGCTAGAGAAAGGGAATGTAATGCCAGAAAATGAATTAAAGTTTACTCTCCATGAAAAAGTAGAATATGAAATAGAAAAGACTCTGCTATCCATTCTCCGTACTTTTCCAAGCATAGTAAGTACCGATTTGTTTGGGTGATCAGATCCTTAACTTACAAATCTAATTTTAAGAAAAAGAATCTTACCAGATTCCCCTGCGCTAAAGTGATCTAATGGATTCCCTTCTGCATCTGGGTTTAGTAAGATCATTTCAAACTGAATATCCTCGGATTCAGAATAATTCTCCTCGCAGGTAAACTTGTCTACATAAAACACATACCATGTTTCCGGATAAGGAATCTGGGACACTGTCAGATTTTGCTCTGTGTGGTTCACAGTCACTTTGGAAGAAAACAAACAAACAAAAATAGAAGTAAATACTCGATTACTTTGTTTTTAGAAAACTCATCTTTGAATGATAAAATTTAAATCCACATAATCTTATACAGGTCATAAACTACATACAGTACAAAACAGTCTTGGTTTTGAAAACCAGCCATAAGATCAGAGACCAAACTTCCAACTTCATCTTTTGTTTCAAATAGGTGCAGGCAAGGGTTGGTGAGGAGATGCACTGCATTCCGTCTCTCAGCTTTTGGGTCTGCTGGGAGGGTTCCCTTCTGCCAGAAGCCAGTGACTGCAAACTGTCTCCTATGCTCAGCACATTCCTGTCCCCTAGTACAGTATTGATAGGACTAGGTATTCTGTATTAGCCAACAGATACTTCTGCAGTATGAAAAATACCTTTGTGAAATTTAATTCTACTCTGTTTTCAAAGATATTTAGAGCACCAAACAGGAACAGCCACACGTGAACTCAGTAAACAACAGTGTGCATGCTTTAAAGGTGCAACTTAGCATATTTTACAGCATCTTCCCCAAACAATAATAGACTGAATTTCGACTGACAGCTAAGTGCTGAGACCATTGTCTAATAAAACTGTATGTTTCAAATACGATTACATTTAAAACCAACTACGAAAGAGACAGACATTTCATATGCTCACTGATATTACTGCTATTTTTCCTAAAAGCAACTGTTAACAAAGCACAATCTCTCCAAAATAAACATATGCTGCAAATGAAATCTGTGGCTCTGCATGTTTGGGTGAAACTGCAGGAATTGTAAGTGCTGTCATACTGATTACTGAACTCGAGTGCTAATCAGCTCAACCATGAATGAAAGCCATCTCTGGAGAAGAAATAACAATATAATGACTGGACTGAAGATTAATTCACCTTAATAGTTTAAGATGACAACGGCTAAGGATGAGGGAAGAGAAAAATGTCATAAAAATCTACAAAACAAGCTAGTTTTTTTATGCAAAGGCCTTTCTAAAAAAGCTGCAAATGTACACACAAAACAACCCTTAGCAAACTCATTATCCCTAAATATTTTGTAGACAGAATTTAGAACTAATTTCTAACTTGAAGCCTACCTGTGAAAAACATTTATGTGATTTAAATAAACTTGTTTCAACTTCAAGAAGTTATTTTCTGTCCTCTGAAGGCATGAACTGATCAACACTAGGATCCAGGAAGAACGTGTGATATGTTTCTTTGCAGCAATTGTCATGAAGTACAAATTTGGACAACACACAAACCAGAAAAAAAAAAAAAAGTGTTCTAATGCAGGCAGTTCATGTTGTGTAGGTAACGGTAAGTATGCATTCCACTCTGGAGCTACATATCTCATCAATCAAATATACAAAGTGAAACAGCTCCCTTCAAAAACCCCAAGATTTTTAAAAACACAAATTTAGGATTTCATATAGTACTTCATCCAAATGAAAGGCAAACTGCAGCTGAGAGGGTTGGCTTTATTCTCCATCTCGACTCTCAGCTGAGTTCCGACACAGTGTTATTTGCATCAAGACGAAGGATCACACGGAGCATGTTTAATCAGTTTTCCATCAAATCTGTGAGCTAACTCACAGGAAATGAAGATAAAACAAAAATGTAATTGATTTTGCCCAAGATCAGCAAACAGATCCAACTCACCCTGTGGTCACATGATTCCTAAATGCAGTAGAAAACAGCAAGTACACTGCTGAGACAGACAGGAGTGATGGGCCAAATGCTAGTCATTTCAGCAGCACTTAAAGTTCAGCTCAGATCAAGTGTAAGGGAACTATGTCCTTAGAAGTGACATCTGTGTAAGATTTTGTTATGACAGTGTTCCAGGAGATCAATTTGTTACTCTAGGGATTCTGGCTGCACAGAGGAAATGTATTTAAAAAAGAAGCTGTATTCACTTAAGATATATTTGAATGAAGTTTCTAATATTAATATCTTAAAGGAAAATTTATGCTTTAAGTAGGTTTTGTAGTATTACAATCAATAAATGGTGCAAAAATTATTATTCCAGTATGTTTGTCTTCCAGTTACATAACTGAATGCTTCAGTGTTTTACTGTTCTTTGAAAACTGCCATTTCCATGGAACTGCAGAACAGGAGCCTCCTGACAAATGAGAAATGTTCCTTCATAAACAAAAGACAACAAGATAACCTACATATTCTGTACTGGTATAATTCTTAGCTCAAATATGAAAAACATTTGAATGTGAGGTTCAGTGATGAATACCAAATTACAAAATTAAAGCATGAAAGAACATTAAATGATAATACAGGCAAGTTATAAAGTAAGGCAGCATAACCCAGATTAATTTTCGCAGATGACCTTAAAAAAACTAATGATTATGAGGTTGTGAAAGAAAAAAAAAAGAACAGAGAAAAAAGCTTTGCAGGTAAAAAATTACCCTTCTGCTGTGTACTTGGGCTACATACTCCCACCTCACAAGCATTCACTTCAGAAGTTTAGAGGTAACTGCAGCAGACTCCATCAGTTTGCCTCTAATTTTTTTCACTCCACCGCAATAAAAGTCACAATTCAAACTGTACCTTTGACTGTCCCAAACATTTAGATTCTCAAGTTCTTCAGTTTCATATTACAATGGTATTCTTTGCAAATTCTTTCAAATACTCAACATGATCTTTTTTATGGAAAAGTTTGAGGAAAAAAAAAAAAAAAAAAGGACTTTTACTCCAAGCAGAGTTAGAGAAAATCTGAATGACTAAATGAAAACTTCAGCCAAACATGTACCCTTTCTGAGCTGTGTAGAAGTGAGAGCAAGAGACTAGAACTGGTCAGAAAGTTTGGCTGTTAGTATTAAAGTTATTATTTGTCAAGGATTGTTCATTTTCCAGCAGCATACTAAATCACAATTTGCAAACAAAGTCTTCTGAAGTGATGCAAACAAAGCAATTTTATTTCCTTGTAATAATTTTTAATTACAGAAGGCCAAAGTCCTGCTTTTACTTAGGTTGATGCAAAGTCCAAATTCATGGAAATAAATATTCTAAATACACAGATAACAGGGTTCTAAATACACAGATAACTTAATTTGTAAGGAGGGAAAGAAGTAGCAACTTACTTGTCAGCTGAGCTTTAGAGAACTTCTCTGTACAGCTGTGATCTTGGATACTGTTCTGCAGCTTCTGCCATTCTTGTGCTTGAAATAGGTGAAGTCTAGCTGCTTTTGTCACAGCTACTGCTACGTTCTTGATTCTGACACACAGAACAGCATGGTCACCTTGATATTTAAAAAATAAAATCAACTACTCTGCCTTGATGTCAGTTACAAACAAAAAGCTAGCACGGAGTAGATTTTTTTTATAAGTAGCAGCTTCCCTTTATTTCTTAAACTTCTACCCCTACTTCCCATAAAAGTCTTTACACTCTTTCAGAAACAATTTCTAGACATCTCATTAACACAATACTGCATGCACGATTCTCTATGATGGTACTTAAACCTTCACCACAATCCAAATGTCATTAACCACCTCTACCACAAACAGCCTTCCCTCCCCCCTCTTTTTTTTTTTTTTAAACAAACTTCCAGATAACCTTTTTCTGTCCTTCCTCCCACCCCAAATTTTATTTTCTCAAGCTCAAGTGAAGACAGTGCCTCAATCAGTCTCAATAACTGGTTCAAAGTCTAGTATTTTATGACCTTTGTAGCATGATTATGAGCATCATAGGGTAGCTCTTGAGTCTAATACCAGAAGAACTTATGTAAATGGACCTTCATGTTATGGACTGATTAGAGCTAAAATAGTTAGTTATAGATGACAGACGTCAAACAATACAAAGAAAATCAAACTTTTCAAAAGTGTTCTCTAATGTGTCAGTCTACCTATAGGCTGCATCCTGACAGACTCCTTCGAATTTAAGCAAGCTTTGTATGTTTTTTATACTGTCAGAGCAATCTTCTCTCCCACCTAACCTAGGCACCAGCTGGATGTGTCAATAGATTACTACCAGCTTCAAATAAGGCTCTGCCAGGAAGACTTGCCTGTTCAGAGCCAGCTGCGAGATAGCGGTCCTGCAATAAAACCTCAAAAAAGGTGATCTCCTGGCATCTGTAAAATGTTATATGGACTATAGTTTACCCAAGTTACTAACAAAATATTTTGAAAAAATAACAGAAGGTTCTAAAAACAACAAAAAAAAAGCCCATATGGCTTTGCTAAGACCCCAAATACATAGTTTTGGGTATTCATGCAGAAAGAGAAATATTTCTAAGGAAATATGCAACATCGACTTGTAGAATAAATTATATCAGCACACCTAAACCACTCATCTTGAAGCTTAATGTTCTTTTCTCAGACTAAGCAGTGCACTTTTTCCCCTTTAGATCTATTCAGAGCGCTTCTACAATTATCTTCCAGGACACTAATAATTAACTGCTTTCAAGACACTCCATGAGCTATCCCCACCCTATCTATCACCTCTCATTCAGCACTAGAAGGTCACATTCTAACTCTTCTTGGCTTATGTCACGTTTTCCTTCATCCCACTAGATTTTTTTTTCTTGCAAACATTTTTGTTTTTTTCTCACACTGCTCCTCCAGCCCGGGAAGAAGCCTGTGTAAGTAGTATCTTCATGGCTGCCTTTTTATGCATGCCACAGAACTCTTCTGCCATGAAGATACCTGGGAAAGAAAACGGTCTAAGCTTCCGAAATGCTGAGCATATAGGGAAAGTATATAGGAAAAGCACGCCGACCAGCAGTGCTTGCATGTATCTGTTTTTGCAAAGTAAAACTTCTGCAGCAAGGAGAGTCGCTTCCAACCTGTACTTCTGCAGCGACCATTCTAACAGGTTTCTAGCCCGTCGCCAGGCCTCTTCACTAACAGTCAGGAATCATTACCGCCAAGGAGTTAATACGGCGGGAAAGAAAAGCCCCCGGGAACGATCCGGTGAGAGCGTCCATCCCGCTGCCCGGTGCCACTAAAACCACCCGGGGCTGCGCGACAG